AATTTTGCAGTGAAAAGGTACTGGCTACAGAAGGATTCCTTTTAGCATTTTTATGAGAAGATTTAAACGCCCTAGCTTTTTCAGCTGATTGTATCTAAGCTGAACTTTCTACTACGTTTTTTTATTACTAGCATTGTTTTAAATTAGGCTCACAAGTTATAGCTTACTGTAGAGGCGAAAAAGGTTGGAAAACAACCTTTTTTTTTCGATAAATAGCGTCAAATTTTTCGGTTCTTTATCAACAGTGTTGTAACTATCAGAGTGATTAGTAAGAAGTTAACATTTTTTGCGAATCTGCTTGGCTCATTTAGCCGCCAGCTCTTTCGCTTCTTAAAGGTAGTGAATACGGAAAGGGCTTTGAATTTAACATGGTTATCTAACCAAAGTTCATTTTCTGACCTTACATTTAGACTACATAACTATTAATAATCAACAATAATGGCACCATCGTTTCGGATGAAATTCAGGAAGCAACTCGTACCAGTTTCCGGTGCGATCATGCATTTTCGAACCCTGAAATTTGCTGCATCCCTGTTAGCGTGAAAGATCTTTAAGCATTTACTCCTCCCTCTCTTTTACCCAGCTTGCTTCTCACTTTTCTTCTCTATTTCTACTGCAGGCTTTTCCTCTTCTTGCCTTTCTCCATCTCTCCTCCAGTTTATCTTACCCACTGTCACCAGTAGGTAAGTAATTAATTTGCATAGCACTGCAGGTGGACTGTGAAGACACGATGGTGTCGCTAACATTCAAGACAAGGAAACCATTCACCGGTCGAGTGTATGTTCGCGGACTGGCCGACGATGACCGGTGCTCTCGGAATTTCGCATCCAATGTCGACCAGAACAAATTCTCGATGATGATCCAAAATGGTGATTGCACAATGCAACGCCAGCGAGTCACCGGCTCTTTGGAGGTATCTGAGTTTTCCAGTATTCCTGTAAATATTTTCTAAATTACCTCAATGTTAATACTTTTACATGCTAGGTAGCACTTCTTCTGATGGGGTCGCTAGAACAACGTTTTTCCAAAAGAAGTATTTTAACAAGGCTTTATTCTTGATACTTTTCTAAAAACTA